GAGGACTTTGGGGACCTGAGGAAGGTGGGGACCTGAGGACGGTAAGGAGAGGTCTGGCAGCCTAGAAAGTGCCTGAAGGGCTGGGCAAAGCCTTGTGCTCAATCAGTTGGTGGGTCTGTCTCCCAGGTGAGGAGAAGGGCCTGCAGGTGACAGGGCGGGAACCCCCATATTAGGTTACAGTAATAGACAGAAAGGGCCCTGCCAAAGCTGTCTGCCATAATTGGAAGGCTCCGAGATGATCAGATCAGATGTCGGCGGGCCAGGTTCTTAATGACAGCCTTCGGCCACCCTGTGAGGGCAATGTTTATCATCACCCTGAGTGGTGGTCACGTGCCCCAGGTCACCATGTAGGTTTGGGGAAAGGCTGGAATGGGAAGACGCCCCTCCTATGTTACACGTCTGTCCAGAAGTACAGCCGCTTTCTAACGGATACCCGGATTCCCCAGAACCCACAGGAAGCACCCAGGAGGAAAGGTTGGCCCTGTGGGCCCAGATGGCTGAGGTCCCCATGCCACCAGGTGGGTCTGAGCCTGGGTGTGCAGCCAGACCAGGGCTCCACACACTGGGCAGCCCAGGCAGGTCACTGGCCCTCAGGTGGGCTGACAATCCCCCCTTGCTGGTCTCACAGCAGATGTGAGGGCCAGACTAATACCAGGTGGCAGCCACCCCACCCTGCACCTGTCCCTCCCAAGGGAAGCAGAGCTTTCTGTTTCAGTTCCTAGCCGCCTGCCAGGACAGCCTGACATCTTTTTCCTGACCCTCAGCATTTGGGTTCCCTCACCCTGGGCCCCTGCTCTCCTGGGCCCTGCACAGGCTGAGCCCATCCTTCCAGCACCTCATGGTCTTGCTGGAGGGGAGTCTGCTACTTCTGCCCCCGCCCACCTTGGGGTTTGCCACCTCCCACATCACATCAACAAGGCCCCAGAGGAGAGACTGAGGCCAGAACCCTGGCTCACCTGAAAGTACCTGGCCACAGAGCCCACTCCGGGCCCAAGACGCCAATTAGCAACTGGGCCCTAAGTTGAAGCAGACCTGTGCACACATGTGCGTGTACGCACACCCCCACATTCGTGTGTGCAGACTCACACATGTACATGCCCATGTGTGCAACACATGTACTCACAACCCTACAGTCACACACGTACACATGCACACACATGCACACACAGAGTCCCCCCAACCCAGAGCAATGTGACCAGGTGCTGGACGTGGGGACAGCTGTGAGGACTGTCACATCTGGCTGGGACTGATAACGGAGCCACTGGCCCAGAACCGTGCCAGGAACTCTCGTCAAGCAGATCAGCTGGAAAACAAGGCGCTTGCCCGTTTCTGGCTGCTAACCGTTACTACCCAGATCATCGTGGAAAACTTCAATAACATGACACATGTCTTCTCGGAGCTACAAGTGACCTCAGAGAGATGTCCCCAGCTCGCTGCCCCTGACACGCACACGGAACCGTCACACACGTGTGCACTCATGTGTGAAGAACGTCCCCACACACACACACACCTGGTGCGATGAGGCCGTGGTGCTTACAGTGCACGATGGCAGCCACCAGACAGTCCTTGAGGACCTGCAGGACCTTGCTGGGCACAATGTGGCCTATGCACTTGGTGCTGTCCTCTGAGGAGGAGGCGGTGAAGACATCGTCAGTCATCCAGGTCTCCAGCCCGGCCCCTTCCCTGGGGACACCTAGGCGGCAGGACACGGTGCCATCCCCGGTCTGGGCGTCCCCCGGCTCCTCAATCAGCAGGGTTGCAGCCTCCACGCTCAGGGGCACCTCCATGTCCAGCGGGCCGTCCGACGAGCGCAGGGCAAACTGGAAGGCCTCCAGGTCTCGGGAGTAATCCACGAGGAAGCGGGCATCCAGGGTGTGCACGTGCTCCAGCACTGTGAGCAGCACGTCCTCGGCGCGCTGGTACTCCTGCACCCGGGCCGCCTCCCGCGAGCGGATAGCCCGCAGGTAGTGGTGCCACAGGGGCACCTGCACGGCCATGGTGGGTCCAGGGCACAGGGCAGCCCTCGAGCTGGGAGCTGCAGAGACGGGAAGAGGCAGCTGGCCAGGTGACAGGCAGGGCCCAGGTGACAGGCAGGGCCGCAGGTAGGCCCAGCCCCGGCTCCCACAGAGCAGCTGCAGAGTGACTGATGAGCGAGGATTGGTGCAGCAGGTTAAGTAGCTGAACCGGGACCAAGCCTTTGATGTGAGGTGAGTCAGTCGCTAACAATTAGGAACATCAAGAGCGGGTGGGCGGGGCCTCCCTGAGCTCCGCCCTCCCATCTCCAGCCTCCGCCTCTGCCCCAGGCGCAGGACTTCCGCCCTCCCAGGCCTGTGCTGTCCCTAGAGGTGAGGGCCTACTCCTGGTGTCCCCCTCCCACCCTCACCCCAACAGCAGAGCCTCAGGGTCTCTGTGACTCAGGGCCTCCCCGCCAGATTAGGGGTTTGGAGACATGGCATCCCCTTTGCTCAGATGAGAACGGTGAGGCAGGGCAGTGGCTGCCCCAGACTCCGAGTGTGGGGGTGCCCCCTGGAGCAACCACTTCCCAGCAGCCTCTCTCTGGGGCAGCCTGGAAGCAACCAACCTCAAGCCAGGGCTGCAGGCTGCATTTCCATAGCAACCTAAACATTCCCCTCAGCACCTGTGCACCGCTCCAAGCTGGGAGTCTCACACCCGGTGCCCACCAAAATCCACGCATGAATCCCGCCTCTTCCCCCTGCAAGGCCGTGTCAG